CTTTCTCCACATCCACACCAGCAGGAGTTGTTTGTTAATTTGTTGATGGTAGCCATTCTGACAGGTGTGAAGTGATACCTCATTGTGGTTTTAATTTGCATCTCTCTGATGATTAGTGATGTTGAGCATTTTCTCATGTGTCTCTTGGCCATCTGTATGTCCTCTTTGGAGAAGTGTCTATTCAAGTCCTTTGCCCATTTCTTAATTGGGTTGTTTGTCTTCCTCTTGCTGAGTAATATGAGTTCTTTGTACACTTTGGAAATTAACCCCTCTCTGATACATCCTTGGCAAATATGTTTTCCCAAAACATGGGATTCCTTTGTATTTTGAGGCTGTTTTCTTTTGCTGTGCAGAAGCTTTTTAGTTTGATGTAGTCCCATATGTTTATTTTTTCTTTTGTTTCTCTTGCCCTAGGAGATGTATCAGTGAAAATTCCACTACGTGGGATGTCTGTGACTTTACTGCCTATGTTTTCTTCCAGGATTTTTATGGTTTCGTGATTTACATTTAAGTCTTTTATCCATTTTGAGTTTATTTTTGTGTATGGTGAAAGTTGGTGGTCTAGTTTCATTTTTTTTACATGTACCTGTCCAATTTTCCCAGCATCACTTATTGAAGAAACTGTCTTTAATCCATTGGATACTCTTGCCTCCTTTGTCGAATATTAACTGACCATAATGTGTGGGTCTATTTCTGGGGTCTCTGTTCTGTTCCATTGATCTATATGCCTATTATTGTAGCATTATCAGGCCGTTTTGATTACAATGGCTTTGTAATACAGTTTGAAGTCTGGTAATGTGATCCCTCCCACTCTGTTCTTTTTTCTCAAGATGGCTGCAGCTATTTGGGGTCTTTTTTGGTTCCATATAAATTTTCAAAATGTTTGTCCTAGATCTGTGAAATATGCTGTTGGTATTTTAATGGGAATTGCATTGAATTTATAAATTGCTTTGGGTAGTATGGACATTTTAATGATATTAATTCTTCCAATCCATGAGCATGGTATATTCTTCCACCTGTTTATATCTTCCTCTATTTCTTTCTTCAGTGTGACATAGTTTTCCGAGTACAGGTCTTTCACATCCTTAGTTAAGTTTATTCCTAGGCATCTTGCTTTTTTAGTTGCAATGGTAAATGGTATTGCTTTTTTAATTTCTCTCTCTGAAAGTTCATTGTTGGTGTATAAGAATGCCATTGATTTCCGGATGTTGATTTTGTATCCAGCTACCTTGCCAAATTCATTTATCAAATCTAGTAGTACTTTGATGGAGTCTTTAGGGTTTTCTATGTACAGTATCATGTCATCTGCAAATAATGACAGTTTTACTTCCTCCTTTCCAATTTGGATACCTTTTATGTTTTCTTCCTGTCTGATGGCT